TTGGTGAATTTTGATGTAATAATATACTCTAAAGGGCGTGATTGTTACAATTAAAACTTCAAGTACCAAAATAAGAATTAAGTACATACTTTAGGGGTACAAATTATAATTTATCCAAAGGCTAAAGCAGTTCCGGACGTAATCTTCGGATTACAATCCAGTAAATTAACGACAAGTTTAGCGTCCGCGGCGCACGTGCGGTTGGGTTGAATTTTGGACAATGACCCGTTGGGCCCACGCAAAGGCTTATCCAAGTTCGGTGCTACCTTTCTTTATTATTATTTTTTTTATTATATATTTATTCTGTAAATTCTTTATTATTATTATTTATTATTTTACTTGTGGGAGACTAACCGATCATGTGAAGAAGTTATAGATATCACTTTTCACGGTTCTTTCTCTTTTCTATTTCTATTTTTTATAATTCTTAATATTTGTTTTATTGAAATGCTATGAAATATGAATATTTTGTCAAAATTGACGTACTAATATCGATATTTGTCAGATACTCAAAAATATATATCAAATATACATCATATGTATTTAATACTTAATAAAATATGTGACTACTTCGCAAATATTTTTATATATAGAGTAATATATATAATTTTTAATTTTAATTTATATCCTATTCTTTCGAGCTCAGAAACAATATAAAAATATCAATAAAATTTTATTTGACTTTGAATGGTAACTTTTTGTAAATCCAAATTTAAATTTGAAGAAAAATCCTTAAACACCTTTTTCAATCCTATACTTAAACTCATACAAAATTAAAGAAGACTCAAACCTTTACTCAAATCATCAATGATTAGATTCAATTTTTTTTTAAAGATTTAAGAGTCATATTCTCTCTTCCTTAAAATTAAGGTTTGTTATCTTTTAAATTTGTGTTTCTCTGTTTGAATATTTTGTATAAAATCAAGTTTTTTACTCAAATGTTGACTTAAATTTGGGTAAAAAATTGATTCAAGGTTAGAACATCGAGTATCTTTAACCTTTACCCTTTTCTAACTACAAATTTAAATTTGAGCATCTTTAACTCTTATCATTTTTTAAACCCAAATTTAAATTTAAGTGAAAACACCCTAATAACTTTCTCCAATTTTAATATCCAAACCCATATCAAATCAAGGAAGACTCAAATTTTTACTTCAATCACTAATGATTAGATTTCATTTTGTTTTAAAAATTTAATAGTCATGTTCTATTCTCCTTTAAATTTGAATTTGTACTAATTTAAATTTGAGTTTATCTTTTTTTAATTTTGAGTTTCTCCATTAGAGTACTGTTTTGTATCAAATTTAGTTTTTTTTTTTTATCAATTTTTAACTCAAATTTGGGTACGAGTTTGGGGAAACCAACTAATTAAATATTAGTTCTAATTCTTTTAATTGGTCACATTCATTTTATGAATATATCCTAATGAGATTATATTACACAATTTTTAAGATAAAAATTGCTAATTTTGAGTACTAATAATAGTAAAGTATAAAAAATATTTTTATTATAGACGTATCCTAAATTTGTTTGTATTCTATTTTTTAAAATTTTATCGTATTGCTATTACTGTATTGTATGTTATCCGTATTTCGTATCTGTGCTTCCCAACTTATATGATAAATCATAATTCACCAATTTCTATGCATGGTAAAAAAATATATAAAAAAAAATCATCATAATATGCATAGTTTATTTTTTTAATTTTCACTAAAAAATCCCAACAATTTAGTGATAAAGAGATTCCAAATGTGAAAATGTATTTTAAATGTAGAGGAATTCGTTTCAATTCTCCGGAGTTATAAGTTCGAGTCTTGATTAATTCAATATGCCTAATTTTGCAGGCAAATGTATGGAACCGAAATTTATATAGTTTTAATTAATTTGATCAAACCTAACTTGCCACCCTTGATTCTTACTGAATTTTCTTAATTAGGTGGTTAGTGAGCCAATATTTGTCAAATAAAAGACTGAATTCTCATATTTTTTATTTGGATTTCATTTTGTCAATCTTTCGAATTTTTCTTCCAATCATTTGTGGGTGTTTTCCTTTATTTGTAATATAGTTGAATTGTTTTTTTTTTGTTACAATGGTTTATTCTTAATTGTAATAGTAATTTGGGGTAATCTGTGTTTAAAGATACGTTACAATGTGAATAGTTTTGAGAGAGATGTTAGTGACTGTTAGATGAATTTATTTGAAATTATAGAATAAATTTATTGAAATCGTTCTTATTTTATAAATATATAGTTGTACATAAAAAAATATTTTCTCTTACTAGGTAAAAAAACCCAATAAACATGCTAGATAGCATTCTAAGACATACAAAATGGGTATTGAGACACTTTATTAGAAGTGGAAGACTAAAAAAAAATAAATCATATTTTTTTTATATATAAAATGGTCTCATTTACAAAATTATAATATAATTACTATTCAATAATATATCATTTTAAAGATGATAAATGAACGTTATCAACAATAATTACGCTTAATTTGGCTAATGCAGGCCCTCGGTCAAACCACCGCTACTACAATGCTACGATTGCCATGACCACTTTTTGGGGTTGGCAGATCTAGGAGGATAAAAGCAAAATTGAACAAGTAAAGGGGGTGAGGTGACAGCGCACACAAGACTTTGTAATATGTCGTTTCATGTTTTGTCATATCTACAACAAATCCTATCAAAATTTGATCCAATTAATTCCTATTCATTTTATTATTATATATAATCGAATATACCACTTATTCTTTTGAAATCATATATAAATTCATTAGTTTTATATCGATTTTTTATTTTTTCTATAAATCAAATGTAAAATTACCAAAATTCAGGGAACAAATTTTATTAATTTTTTATAACATCCGATTAAGATTGATAATTGACTCGAATTACTTGGGTTCGATTCGTATTTAAACGAGTTAAGTTTGAACGCATTTTTAAACTCGTTTTTAGATTTGACTTGAGTTCGCAAAATTTAACTTATTTATATATAACATAGTCAAATAATTTGAGTTTTGACTTGTTCTGAAAAATAAATTAAATTTAAATATTTTTTTAATTAATTAAAAAAACAAACTTAAAAATTCGATACGATTATTAATGCTATGTTTAGTTGAAGGCAGACTATGAAGCACGAATACAGATACGAGATACAAGTATGATACGATACGGATATGACGATACGACAAAATCTAAAAAAGAAGGATACGGTTACGGTTAAGATACGATTATAATAAAATGTATTTAATATTTTTATTACTTTCAATCTGCATAATACTTATATATTTTGATAATTCTTTAACACAATAAAAAAAATTTGTAATTCTTTTTAGTTTGAAAAAAATATATATTGTATCACTATGGTATATTCACAAAGTAAAGTGATTAATTAAAAAAATCAAAGCTAATATTTATCGAGTCAGTTTATTTAGAAGTGATTTTTGCTAAAACTATAATGTAATAAATTTATTTTATGCTCTTTGAATATATAATTGTAGATAATACTTAAAAACAATACTTATGTACCTTTGAAGTATTATAAATTTTTGTAAATGTATTGTATGATATGTGAATTCGAAAAAAAATATTAAAAAATTAATTTAAAAATTATATATATGTTATTTGAACACAAAATATTCCTAAAATATGCTAATATTTGATTATTATCATATACGGAAAAAATATATCTAATATATATTTTTAAATATTCAACAAATATTAAATCTGATAAAATATCTGATATAAATACGTCGATCTCAACAAAATAAGGCAGACCTTCCATTTGTTTTTCATCAGGCAGATGTTGCCTGTGTGAGAGGACAGAGAGGACGTGACACGGGAGCAGGAAACGCCCAATGCCAATCGCCCCCAAAATCTTCGAGCGCTGCCAAAACCACACGCTGACAAGTGACAGTGGGCGGTCCTTCTCGCCGGCATACGTGCCTTTAGCTTTAGCCATGTCTTAGCCCCCCCTCCTACCCAATCACCATCTGCCACACAGCCACTGTCACAGACCCTTTTTTTTTAGACTCTTAATAACTTTGTTTAGATATTTATATCATTTTTTGAATAGAACTTACAATTTGTTTTTTTGGGTGCAATCATTTTTTAAATTCATTTGTTAGTTTTTGAATTGAATTACTTTTTTTGGGGAACTTTTTTTAATTTTTTTACTTTTTAATATGATATCAAAAAATAATTTTTTACTTAAAAAATAGCTGAATACCAAAATGTATTGTATTTTAATTTTTTTAACAATAAAACTTGATGTGTAAAATTTAGTTTTTAAATTATCTTATTATTTTTAGTCAATAATTATTGATTATTCAAAACCAAATCAAAGATTGAGATTTTATTCAATTCAAATTTTAAAAATTCATCAAAATTTAAAGTAAATCTAAAAAATGTATAGAAATTTGAAAATATTTGATTTGGGCCTACAACATTGCAAGGGAAGGAAGTGACATAGTGATTATCACTTTATTATGGTTATAGGTTCTACGACTCGTAATCGAATTAAGTCGAGTCAAATCTGTTAAATTTTTTTTATTAAACGAGTTTAAAAAATTATTTATATTTAATTTATTTAAAAAATAATTCAAGCCCGAGTTAAACAAAAATATCCACAAATCACGACTTTGTAAGCCATCAAAAAGAAAACGGCGTCGTACTCACCAAATTGCCTTGCTTCTTCCACTTTCTTTCCTATCATCTACCCCACGTCCACCTTTGAAAAGGCTAAACATGTGCGCGACGCTCATTTCCAGGACTGTTAAAACACCCAAATGGCACTCTCGTAATAATCCTCCCATCTAAGGTCAAACAAATACCGACGCCCCCATATTTAGCTCACCTTCCACCGCTCTAACCCACCTCATTTATTAAACTCCTTCCCAGTTCCCAAATAACCCAAACTCGGTTCACACCGGTTCGCAGCAATTCAAACCGGTTCTTCGATTTTCCGATTGGATAAACGGCGACGTTCTTGCTCCAGCTATGACTTCCGGGACGAGACTTCCTACATGGAAGGAGAGAGAGAACAACAAGCGGAGAGAGAGACGGCGACGAGCCATCGCGGCGAAGATCTTCGCCGGACTCAGGATGTACGGTAATTATAAGCTGCCCAAGCACTGTGATAACAACGAGGTCTTGAAGGCTTTGTGTAACGAAGCTGGTTGGATCGTTGAAGAAGATGGTACTACTTATAGAAAGGTAACAAATGCAATGTTTACCGACTTAATTTCCCTCTCTTCTCAATTTTATACTGGTGCGAAGTGCGTATTTTAGCAACGGTTGGTGGATAAATTGGGACGGTAGGTTTGGACCTGGAATCCTTTTCATTCATTAGTAGTTAGATATTTTTCTTCGAAAAAGTTAGAAAAAGTTGTTGATTCTAAGGATTTCAGTTCAATTAAGGGTTACCATGTCCATGTAGCGTATGCTAGCGCTAGGAATACTTGCAGAAATGAGATCTGATTTACAATAGTTGAACATGTAATATCTTCTCATGTGATAGGCTAGAATTTGCCGTTGATTGCGGCGTATGCTAAGGTGCGCAGTGCATTTAGCGTATGCTAGCACGAGGAGGAATCAGTACTCCACACCTGAACGAGTGAACAAAGCTCTCTCTCTCTCTCTCTCTCTCACACACACACACACACAGAGCTGTCGATCTCGATCTGGATCGTTGGCTGAGAGTTTCTTTTTACTGATATGACGGTTCAGATTGTCTGTAAACTTTTGTCCTCCAGGCGTACGGTAGATCACTTCGACCTGTGATTTGCCATAGAACGCAGTGAACACCATAGATTTTCTCAGCTGTGTGTCCAAGAGAACTGAAACCACTGCGTACCAGATTGTCGTTTTGACAGCATTGCCCCTCACAATTTCTGCAATTCTCTTCCCTTGTCCCAGTGTCAGCTTTTACGTTCCCAAGTATATTTTTTTACAGTTTCCTCTCTTCGAGATTTTAGATTCCGAGGACTTGAATTTTTTTCCTTCTCTTGGGGCCAGTTGGGGGGCATATCTAGGTGGGAACTATTCAGCACAGTGAACATTTTTAACTACGCTAGCATTCTCACAATGTATCAGCTATTAATAAAAAGGTAACAACTGTACAAATAGAACCCAAAATTCAATAACTGATTTATCCTTCGAGAATATTATAATATTAGCGCCAATAACTTATTTTTAATCGAAGGGATATCGAAGAGAAGATTAATTTAAGAATGTAATAGTTGATTTGAACACTATTAAATTTTTTTTTACTAGCCCTAAGTTAATAACCACTCTAATAGGATAATTGAGTTCACTTTACTCATTGGCTATTAATGGATTGGATTGTGACACGTCATGTTGGTGATGACTTGTTTTCATTCGATATTTACTCCTTCAATTCTGCATAATATCTGTTATCCCTAGATCAGCAACTGACCAACGGTGTGAATTTCTTTTCTTGTGAGGTCAATTTGGTAAGTTGAAGTTAAAAATTTAGTTAATTCAGCAGGGGTTCTCTTTTCCGAGATTCCCGGGGGTAATACTTTCTCCACTCGCGCGTGGAAATTTTGGGCTTTGTTGTAGTGCATGGAGTGTGGGCCATTACTGTTTCAACTGGGTGATTGTTTATTGTTTTGTGTGTCATTATGATATCTAATCCTTGGATTCCCTATTCTTTTAACGTTTTCTTAAGCTGTAGAACGTGTGGGCTTAATGTTGTATTCAACCAGAGAAAGCTGTAGCTGGCTTCGTGTTTTAAGGGAGGGAGGGGGGGGGGGTGTGTGTTATGACTTGTGGGAAGCAGTATAATCATAGTTTTTATTTTTTTAAACTGTAGTATAATCATAGTTGACATTGTGATCTTTCTTTTTGAAACTTTTGGGTAGGCTATATAGTTAGTAGTTTGTTTCCTTTTGGAGGGGTGCGGGGGAGGTTTTTAGTGGAGAACCAGAATATACATGCATATGTTGACCAGAATAATAGTTTTACGCTTCCTACACTAGAACCCAACTAATTTCTTGCACTATGCGTCATTAGTTTGGATTTTAGCATTCAGGGTGGGGTCCATCTTGGCTTCCACAGATGTTGAAATATAATTTGTGAGAGGGTAGGTTGCCTTTATCTTGGTGTATTATAGTTTATACCCTTCCTTTCTACCAGGTATGAGATGTCCAACTCTGAGTGTGATCCTGTTGGAAGTTACATGTCAAATGCGGGAGGCAAAGATGAAATCTAAGAATCCAAGTCATGGATATATTCGCTATTTTTAAGATGAATTTGTCATCTTTCCAATTAGTATTGCAAGTGCAAAAATAATTAGATGACAAATTTGTCCCCAAGATACAATGGACTTAGATTCACCTGTTACTTTTCAAAGAATTTGAACAATCTAATAATAGCCTAAACTTTTCATAATGAAAGAAGAATAATGTCATAAAAAAGCAAGAGAGATTTAGGAGGAGGAAGAGTAGAACAATGTTTTACTGCTTAATGAAATGGAATGAATATACTCCTATTTATAGAGAATGAAGGGGTGCAAAGGCACTGTTTTATTAGAAAAACTATTGCATGAAAGATGTTTTTTCAGTATAAGACACATTTTTGTAAAGACATTTTTATATCAAGGCACATATTCATGAAAAGACATGGATGGTGTAAAAAACATCCATTCATTAGAGAGCACTCGTTAAGGGAAAGATGACCATTCATTTCAACACATGAAGAGTTACAACTATACATATTCACTCTTTCATGGAAACAAACCCATTCATAACATTATATAAAGGGTTTTACTAAGTGGGAGATCCTAGGTTCAACTCTCCCACTCTTGCCCTTAGGGACCTGTGGTCAGCTTTCAGCTTTGGGTATACTGGTCATATAAGTGTAGGTTATGGATGCACCCATACCGGGGAGAGAAGTCTGCCAAAGGCTGATACCCTTGAAACCAATAAAAAAGGGGACAAATTTCATCTCATGTGGTTTGGCCGTTGGTACTATACCTCTGTAGTTAAAAAATAACTACACAATTGTCAGCCAAATTTTGGGGACAATTGTTTGATCAAACTAATTAAAACAGAATGTGTACACATGATATTCAATGTGGATCCATTAGATGGTGGTTCCCAATCCTTTTCTCACATTCACTGGTTTGAGATTTAGGGCTTTGGCTAGTGAAAAAATAATCGAGCGACTAGCTGAATAGAAGCTACATCTGGGGATGTGGAGTATAAGTGCCTTAGAATGTGCGTAGCTCAATGTTTATCATGACTATTGGTGTTTTGCTAATAAGAGGTTCTAAGCTCCTTGCAGTTGAAAACCAGGTTTAGATACTTCTCTTTCTTATTATATCTTCTGCTTTGTTTCATAGGAAAGATATAATTTTTTACACATAAAGAGAGAAAAAACATTTCCATATTCAACTAACTTAGAAATTTTTAGCACACCAGTTCTAGAGTATGTTGTCAAGGGGAGAAAACTGGTCTCTGTGCTTTAATTTAGATGAAGCTAACAATGACTTCTTGTTTCTATGTGTAATGCTTGTTCTTTGGTGTTAATTCTCTTATTTTTGTTATTTACTCATTGGTGTGTTATTATTTAATATTGTAATAAATCCATACCTTGTACATTTCAACCTAATACCTGGGGATTAGTCTTATGATTTTTTAGTCTTTCTTGTAATTGACTTATACATCAGTGGAACGACTGTACAGCAAGAAACTGGTTAGTCTGTTGAGGTTTATGATGCATTAAGGACCATTCTCTTGATGCAATTACTTTTTCCTTCAAAACTCCCATGTCTTCTAGACAATAGATGCCTTTTGAGAGTATATCATGTACCTGGCATTGCTAGATTGCAATGTGTCTTATCATTTCAGTTTATAAGATTCGTATCCAGCAATGAAATAAACTATTTTGGATAATCGTAACACCTATATTAGTGTATTAATATATTTATTTTGGCTACTGCAGGGATGCAAACCCATGGAGCGTATTGATATTATGGGTGGTTCAGCATCAGCCAGTCCATGCTCATCATACCAACCAAGTCCATGTGCATCTTATAACCCAAGCCCTACAGTATCATCTTTTCCTAGTCCAATCTCATCCCATAATACTGTTAATGCCAATAATATTGCTGATGCCAACTCTCTCATTCCATGGCTGAAAAACCTATCATCTGGGTCATCACCTGCTTCGTCCAAGCTTCCCCAGCATCTGTACATAACGGGAGGTTCTATAAGTGCTCCAGTTACACCACCACTAAGCTCCCCTACTGCCCGAACTCCCCGAATGACAAATCATTGGGATGATCCAACTGCTGGTCCTCCTTGGTCCGGGCAGCACTATGCCTTTCTACCTTCTTCCACCCCACCAAGCCCAGGCCGTCTAACCCCTCCTGATTCAGTATGGCTCTCTGGTGTTCAAACTCCCCAAGATGCGCCATCATCTCCTACATTCAGCCTTGTCTCGTCAAACCCATTTGGCTTCAAAGAGGCATTATCAGCTCCAGGGTCCCGGATGTGGACTCCGGGACAAAGTGGGACATGCTCTCCAGCAGTTACGGCTGGGTTTGACCAAACAGCTGATGTTCCTATGTCAGATGCAATTTCTGCCGAGTTTGCATTTGGCAATAACACCAAGGGGCTAGTAAAGCCATGGGAAGGAGAGAGGATACATGAGGAATGTGTCTCTGATGATCTTGAGCTTACCCTTGGGAACTCTAGTACCAGGTAAGTTGGTATAATTTGTTGCTAAGCATAAGAAGCATGGTCAAATCTTGGTAAACTTTGGTATCGTTGCGACAATTTGTTTTGGCAAATTGCAGATAATAGAGAGATGTGATAGAAGAAAGGAGAGAAAAACAACCATGTGCCAATTGATTTGGTTTATACCTACCCTTTCTGCAACTTTACCGAGTGATGTTTTAATCTGTTGATTCTTTATGAATTCGCGTTACTCAGGTTACCAAATCAGGGCAGTGGAAAGTTCAAACTATAGAGTAGGACTTGTTCTTTCTTTCACTTAATTTTTTTTTTTTTAAATCTGCACATCAAATTATAAATAGTTCATGTCTTGGCTTTTGCATTTTTTTTTTCCAGGAATTTTTCCTTTGTATGTTCCAATTTTTTTGTTCTTCTGTTGAAAAGAATTTTCCATTATTGCTCTGATACACGATATTTGTTGTTTGGTTTTCTGATTTTGTAATTGAAATGTATCTTGAATGCCAATATCTGCTACCGGCAAATGTCCCTATTTCTGCTCATGTTTTGAATTTAGTGGTATGTTCTTGCAAATTTAAACTAGCATCCTTAAAGTATGCATTTTTTGTTAGTTTAGTTTTCAATGAATCAATTTTATCAATTTAGTCCTTAAAGTATTTAATTTTGGTTTTTACGTAGACGGGCTGTCAATTTTTTTGACAGAAGTGATCATATATTATTTTTTTAGATGGTATCACGTGCCAATTTTTTTAAATCGTGAATGACAAGTCGAGAGGGCTTGATGAGTATGGCAAAGAGCAGAAGTAAAATCAACTAAGGGAGAGTCGAGCATGTCTCACATTTTGGCAATGTTGTATCTGACTAAATCTTTTGGGTAATAATGACATGGGATAGACTATGGTATTAAAAAAAAAAATCAACTTAATGGTAAGGTTACACGTTTGAAAAATAAAATTATCACCGGTGAAAGGAAATTCATGATCGATCATAAGTACTATGATTGATCATTGGGTTCTTTTGAGTAGTTGTAATTTCTCATTTACTAGTTGTAATGTGCCCAATAAATGGTGTAACTTAACCTTTGAAAGTTGTTGATTGATTGCAATGTTTTAGGATCGGTTATGTCATTTGCAAGTTATAATTTATGTCTTAAACAATTATAATTTATACCTTAAAAATTGTAATTTAGCGTTAAAATTTTTTAATTTTTGAAAGAGTATTGATAGCGGTACTGTAGTCTTTCCCTAATGACATACTAGTAATAATCCGTGTTTAAAGACAATCTAGGAGTATTGATTGCGTAATATTTTTGTTTTAAATAATAGTTTATTTTTTTTAATTATATAATTTCAAATTAAAATAAATGAAGAGAAAATAAGAAAGAGAAAGGGGAGAGAGAAGAGAGTGAATTGGTTAGAGTTAATGATTTTGAGTGGTAAAATAATTTTGGAATGAATTTTATATCGTTAAATTAAAGTAAATAAAAATTGAATAAATTTTCACCGTTTTTTGTATTTATTAATAAAAATGTAACTTATTATCTATAATATTAAATAGATTATCAATAACAATGCTACAACCATTCGCTAACAAAATTATGTGTGCAAAAATTTGTTTTGAATTGTAGTGGGTGAGAACAAGAAATGGATAACTACTTTCTGTGCTATCACTAGGGTTAAATTTTATACGAATTTTTGTCCTGTGATGCCACTGATATCTAACGCTCAATCTTAACCAAACTCACACAATCTCTAATAGAAACAATATATTGAATAGAATATAGGCACGAATCAAACATACAGATATAGATGCACACGAGATTATAGGCCAAACGGTCCAACCTTTATTTTCTCAATAAGCTTAAAGATTTCTGGCTATAAGTCTACTTAAAAAATGTGCCCAAACTCTCTTGGTTCACTGTTGACCCTAACAATTTGTATATAAAGTTATACATGGCGATTACAGTCCAACCGCCTAGGCAATCTGACACCATCCAACTCTGCCCAACTTAGCCATGCGGTGGACATCCCCAACTATTAGTATTGCAGGTACTAATCAAATTTGCCCTCAAGGATTGTGGAGGTTTTGCCACTCCCCACAATGTCTTGAACATCTAGTGAACATGGCTGAAGCAGTTGTAATTGTTGTTTGACTCAGTCATCAACTGCTTGTAACTATCCTACATGCTGCGCACATACCATCAACTACTTGGAACTGCCTCACCCGATGTGCACATGCCATCAACAACTCATAACTGCCTCACACACTGTGCACATGCATCCCTTGATTGCCCATAACATATGATTTTTCTTAACCGCGTGTCAAGTTATGTCTAGCCCATAATTTGGTTTTTCAAGCTTGCAATGCAACATAATTTGAGCCATCATGGCAAGCCTTGATTGCTTGCTTGTGCCCTAGCGCGCCCATACATATTGCGTTTCTCAACCATGCATGGGACTTCCATCAATGATGGGTCCCAATGATCGTCGGCTCCACATTTAGAGTCTCAAACTTTTGCATGCCTTGCCCACACCCATAACAAACATTGTTTTGTGCCTTGCTTTTGTGTGCTAAGTCTTAGGGGGTATAAGGGTTGTTAAGGTTACCAGCTTGACACCCCTTTGCGGAGCAACCCCTTATAATAGGGTTAGTGAGCAAAATCTTAGTGGCAGAAACGAATATCATCTTACCGAGGAGTCATAATGATGAGAGCTTGGAGTATAGTTGTTGCATACTACTTGAAACTTTTGTCGAACACCATTGATACCAAACTAAATACACAACCAAGTCTTTAAGAAGTCATCTTCACACAATGGACACTCCCCCAATTTGACTAAGGCATGGGATACCACTAGACTAGTACCTGCATGGTGGAGTTAAGGGGCTAACACCTGTATATATGAGATCTTATTGTTGGATGGTAATAACTCGGTTGACATGATATCTTTATTATATTCAATATATATTCATAGTTAAAAATAAAACATAGTCATTTGAACTTACTTTGAAGATTTTAATGCACTATAACTATTAAATTGACAATAAATTTCAACATTAGATAAAATTATGTAAAACTTTTCTACTAATGGAACCGCCTTAACAACCATTTTGAGAGCAGTAATCTCGTGTGTCCTCAAGTAACGGGAAACGGATTAAACAAATTTTGCTTTCTTCTTCTCAATTTCCTTTCCAATTTCAAATTGAACACAATTTGTTCAACAAAATATGCCCATGAAAAGAAACCAAATTGAAAAAAAATATTAGAAAAAAGAATTACACTTGAACCACCTTCTCATCTCTCTCAGCAAGATACTTATTCACAGCATCTCTCATATCTTCAAACTTATCAGACCCCTCAAAGAACTCAATCAACCTCCTCAGCTCTCCATCTCCGATATCATCAGTAAACGGCCTGATCGGAATCGCATTTTCCGGCTGAAACACGTATGAATTCGGATTATCATCGACAATCACCACACTCTTCAAGTCCCTCCCCAACTCAGACAAGTCCTTCACAAACTTCCCATCAACCTCTTTACATGAATTCCGGTACAATCGGTGCGATATCGCCGCCCTCCAATCAAGCCTATCAAGCACCAATGAAGCATATTCTTCAATCCCGGCGGTGAACACCACAATCTCAAAATTCTTGCTGAGATAGTCCAATAGTTCATCTACAAATGGACGCTTCAACACATAGAAAACGACTTTTTGTCCGTCGATCACTGGCCTTACGATAAAATCGTACTTTTCAGGAGGTGGATCTGGCTTGGAATGGACTAAAGTCTCATCCAAATCAAGAAATACCGTCTTCTTCATCGGTGATATCAATGGAGGAAGAGAGTGTTTCTCATTGAAGAGTGATCTACGGAGGTTTTGTGGGTCTTCGGCTGTGACTTTCTTGAGGAATTTGTAGCCTTGTTTTCTGGGACTTCTCTTTGGGGTATCAATTCGGGTTAGTTTTGAGAAGATCTTGATGAGGCGGCGGTGGCAACTGTAGATTGATTTGTTGATGGAAGCTACAACGAGGGAGGCAGTAGCGGTGGCGCTCTTGATCGGAGACTTCTTGCGGCGGCGTTGGTGGTAGTTTCGAGCCTTTTTTATGGTTTTTGTTGGGGTTTTCTTGATGATTTTGGACACCATTTTCTGGGTCTAGGTTCTTCTTGTATTTCTCACAGAGAGAGGAGGTTTATGGGGGTGGTTGAAGCGGTTTTAGGCGTTGTGAACTGTATAATGGGGCTGAAATTGATGTGATTTGAAATTAGATTCGGTGCAACGGTCGAGTATTGTTGGTTCGGTACCGAAGCTAGAGGTGCGTTATGTATGTCCACAAAATAGGGAAAAAAAGGGATGGTCTAAAATTAGAAATGCAGCTTTGTGAACGTTAGCTTTGGGAAGATACAGCTGGCTGTCTTGGGTTCAAAATATTTTGGCGCCCATTTTAATTACTTATTTTGATGTACATCCCATTAATTTAACATACTTTCCAATGTTATCAGAACCAAAATGACCATCGAGCTGACAAAAGAATTGGGTTAATGGTTCACTGGTTCAATTGTTCGGACTCGTTATATAATAAAAAAATAAAAATTATAAAATATAATAATTTAGTATATATTTACTGTATATATGTATTTGACTCCGTGTGTCTATATGATTGTGTGTGTATATACGATAATAATAATTGAAATCTGAAATCTGAAATCTGAGGGGGAGAGAAAGGAGAAGACTTAGTCAGGCCGGAGAAGACAGCTGGTCTAGGAGAAAATTGCCCAAAATATGGATTTTGATTTTTTTGTTTTTAGTTGAAAGTCAAACTGTTGGTTTTTATCGGTCTGTCTGGTTCACCAATTTTGAATTAATTTTATTTAAAATTGGCCGGTTTAGCGATTTATCACTAGTTCAATTGCTTGGGTGGTCCAACAAATAAACTGGACTGATCTAGGGTTCAATTCATGTCCAACCGATCCGATCACCCGGTCCAGTTTTGATAACACTACTTCTAAGTTCTATAAAAAATGAGAAAATTGTAGGTAGTTATCTTGCAAACTACTTAACTGTGGGAAAATTCTTTACTGAAAATCTATCGTAGATAAGTATTCCCAATTGAAAATGTTTTATGTGTAAATACACATTGACAGTTTTTAAAATATTCTCTTTACTAAAATGCCATTTTCTATAATTTAGGTAATGTTTAGTTTGACAGTTCATTCTTTTGTAGGATTTGTTTTATTATTTGAATGGTTTCTTATTTTAATATATTAGGATATTTGAATTTTAAACGTATATCATCTTCTTCTTCAAAGGTTGGTGATCTTCTTCAACTTCTGGTGTCTTTTTTTAACTTAAACAGTTAGTGATCTTCGTCTATTTCAACGAATTAATCTTCTTCTTCACGTCAGGTTTAGGTAGAATATAACATCAGCACCCTTTTTTTTTTTCCTTTTTCATGTTAATTACCAGAGGTTGTATTTAAATTTAATAAAAATGTTTGTTGTTGTGGTTATTATTATTATTTTTTTACATGTTTTCTTCATCTTCTTGTGAATATAGACCTCTCACTATGATTAATTGTGTTGTTACATTGTGATGTAATATTATCATGTTCTTGAAAGCACTATGTCATGTCACACTATATGAAGCATAAGATTTAGTTTGTGTTGGAATCAAGAAATGTAATTGTACATTTTTGTCATAGTGTAACAAATAAAAACGTGTTAATTGTGTTGTTACACTATGATGTAACACTGCTATATTACACTGATTCATATGAATCATTGTGTGCCCAACACAGAGTCAATTTATTCACACACCTGTGGTGACATCATTTTATCAATATATATCAACATTACAGACTTTGTTTAAATTTCAAAACATTGAGCGATATATTAGTTACCTTTAATGGGATTGGTACATGACTTTCGACTTTTTCCAAAACTAGTCGCTGTGTTGGTTAGTATTACCTTGTGAGTATTTTTATCATTCATGATAATAATGGACCTATGTACAAAACGTTTTTTCCTGAAGAACTTTTACACAATTAAGTGTTATATTGTGTACCGGCCTTAAAAAATCCCATAAAAAATCTATATATAATATATAGTATGTAGTTGGCTTGGATAAGCTACAAAATCTCATCCCACTTTTTTTAATTTTTTACTTATTAAATTGTCAAATTTAATTTGATTTTATGTCATTGGTCCTTTTTAAAAAATTTAATACCAAATAATTACTAAAATTTCTCAACTATCGCAATTTTTTTCCCAATCATGTTTACCTTTTCTGTCTCTTTCTTACACACATATTTTGTCTCCTCTAAATCTTTGTTTAGTATAGACTATAACAATCAATTTAAGAGAGATAATGCTTATGAAACTGTCATTTATCAAGTACTAGATTTTTTTTTTTATTATAGCTTATTTAAGAACAATATATTGTTCTCATCAAATTAAATCATTACATGTGACTTACATCACTACTCCCACAAAATAATTTTATTTCATCCTTCTTAATTTAGCACAATAATAGAAATTTTTTTAAACAAACTAAGGCCGGGATTGGGGTGGCAATAGGGGGTGGCGATAGGGGTGGTAAGATTGTGATGAGAGAGATTTAAAAATATTTGGTATCGCACAGTGACAAATAACTCTTTTACTTAAATGATTACACTTTCTCGATTATGTTCGATATTTAACTACGTATACACATTTATATAGTGTATATGTATTTGTATTTGTATGGATACACTTTAATTTAGTTACTATAATACGTGTATGGTTATAAATGCTATGATATGTAGTACACTAAATGCATTAAAACATAAATCTATCAAAAGTGAAAATATTTTTTTTAAGGAGATAAATAAAGAACTAAAGTTGAATAAATGAATATATATTATATTCCTTCACATGTAGAGAAAGGCTGGAATGATGGGAGAAAGCTAGGTTTTAATAGGTTTTGAGAGAGATTAGGTTGAATTCCTCAATAGGTTTTAATATTTTAGTAATATCTCCTTTAATTATATTTTGTAGAATAAATACCCCTCCCTTGAGCCACCTTTAACCAAACACAAAGGAACCAAGTTTTTTTTTTGAACAAGGCGATTAGGTAGTAATCTTCTGTGAAACGTTTGATTTGAGTCATAACTACTAATCGAATAGTACATCACTACAACACTACTAAAATCAAGCAACAAACCATATTACTCCTGTGAATCAAGTCCTATTTGATAACCATATATAAATCAATGACGACTTTAAATGAGTACGACTTACCGCTAAACCACCAGCTCAACTTCCAACAAGAATCTAAAGCTTGTGGCCTGTTATTCTTTACTTCGATTCCTAAGCAACATAGGCTTATGGATTTACACAAGAAAGCTAAGATGGATCTGGATGTTCTCAATTGTAAATTCTATCAAAATTTATTGATTTTGATAAATTTATCTACCCTATTTTCAGGAAAAATGAGATAGGAGCCATTAAGTGGTAAATGAGGATAGCATATGTATATTCAGCCTCGTAAGATCATCTCCAATTAAGCTTCGACAACGTGCTGTGCTTGGGTAGATTTTTTGGGAAAAATGGAGGTGGGTACAAAAAATTTAGACTTATTTGAGATAAAATACATTAAGAAAACTTATTTAGTTCTAAGTTTATTTTTTTGAAAAAACACCAACAGGCCATTTCAATAAAAGTACAAAAAAACGTTGCAAGACTAGTTTGGAAATCAACCGGTTTTCTTGTAACTTAACTGTAGAACATGAAGCGCCAGTTTAGGAGAAGGAAATTGGTGCACGATCTTCTACTTTCAAAGTGGGTTTTGAATTTGAAAATTAACATCTATTGTTCCACTGTAACTAAAAATTCGAGATTTACTTTCATTTCAAGAAGAACAAATCACAAAATCGCTCGACTGTGATGAAATAGAGGATTTTGGAGGAAGAAAACTGAAGCAAAATTGTCAAAGTTTTGGAATTTTTAGTAAAGTTGTTGTCGGAATCATCTAAAATGTCTTCCCTTCCGTTGGAATCAGTTAACAGTATGATTTTTTTTTTAGTTCAATATTTACTCTTGATAAAATTCAAATGAACAAAATTAAAAAATCCATGTTTTGTAACAGGAAAATAAGAAACCTTAAAACTTTTATGCTGAATACATGCATGTAAGATTGAAATTCCTAAAAATATAAACACTAATTGTTAGTTTATTGTAACAGTTTGGAGTAATTTTATTGACATTCACTACTTTTGAGTTATATATCTATTTTGGGCTTCTGATTCTTACGAGCGGCAAAATATTCTAATACGAAACATCATCCCAACATACATTGATTCATTGGTATCCCTATATGATGTACTTCTTTGGTGTGATTTATTGGTTCACCCAATTTGATGTATATAATTGGTGTAACTATATTATGATACTAAATGGTGTAACTTTTTGGTTTATGTAAACAACTGAATTTGGGTTAGCGTCATAATTTTGTGTAATTGTTTAGTATAACTATTAGTTTATCAGAATATATAAGTAACTGTTTTGTGTATTATAGAACAAGTGTAACTAATTAGTGTAATTATTTGTTGTAATATTGGTATCACATTATGTTTACGTAACTATTTTGTGTAATTCTTCGTTGTATTGGTTTGTGGCATTAATATGACGTTCTGTAAAAAAAGTCAGTACACAAAATAGTTTATCATTACAACTCTGTTTTTTTTTTCCAATCGTAAAAAAACAAAAAAAAAGAGCATCTTTACATTTTTGTTTTGCTGCAATGTGTTTGATGATGTACAAAAGTGAATTTATATATCACCTGTCGAGTAATTAATATAGGTAATAAATGCAGTAAATATAAATGTGAGATCAACACAGACAACTTACAGATATAGAGTGGTTCGATCAGGATGACCTACTCTACTTTGAAGACGACAACTGTGGCCAGAAGACTTTATTGATAAAGTAGTAGATGGGAGAGAGAGCAAGGATATGCTCTAGGTATGATGAGGTAGCTATGAGAAAGATAATTTTGTGTGGGATGTAAAGATGTGTAAAATGTGTGTCCCTCATGTGTAGAGGTCTTACAATTTATAGGCACATAACTTTGGTTAAGGCGGTGGCGTGATGCATAGGTTACTAGTTTTT